TGGGATAAGGTTCCAAACAAGCTTGTTATCTTTGTCACGAAATTTTCTTCTCCATGCCCGCAACACATCCTCAATACGTCTAGGCATCACCCAATCTATATGTTGAGAAGTCAAAACACTGTTCCACAGCCAACGAACTCCATCACAGTGAATGAATAAGTGGTCATGCGTCTCCACATCACTCGTACACATATAGCACCACTCGGTAACAAAAAAGCCTTTTTTTCCTAGGTTATCCATCATTAGTGCCTAACCTCTCACCATCGTCCACAACAAAAAAGCCACCCGTGGAGGTAGTTTACGATGCCACACCATCTTCCAGGGGAATGAGTGCTCCACAGGTCCCAAAAGGGACCTAAAATAAGAGCAAACTGAAAAAATACCATTCGGTGCCACCCTCCATCTGCTATGATCAACCTCTCCAACCCAAATATGTGCATCATACAAACAAGATAAAAATAGTGTATAATCGTCCAAATGGGGAGAGCGAAAATGGGGATTCTGCAGATTTGATTCAATTCCACAAAATTTCCCTTTCCCTTTTTGGCGCCGTCTGCTCCAGCTAAATTAAAATCCCAGCCGTCCAAAGAAGTTTCATCTCAGCCGTACACGTCACTTTGTATACAAACTTTGTCAACAAACTAGGTACAAACATCTTAATTCAAAAAAAAAAAAACTCTCCCTTGCCCTTAGTGTAGAAATTATAATAGTATTTCCAATAAACTCTCTATTTTTAAAGAGCACATTCTATCATTTTGCGAGCATTTATAAATTTAGAGAGTTAAAATTTTGAAATGCTCCAACAAACTTTTTATATTTAGAGTAATGTTATTCATAATTACTCACTGCGACAGTAGCCCTACGTGACACATACATGACAAGTAGTTATTTGATGCATTAATGTGGTGATTTTTTTACCACATTAATGCATTAAACACACACTTGACATGTGTGTACCACATAGTCAGCGACTGCAAATAACATTATTCTTATATTTAACACTTAATTTTACTACTCTAAAAAAATATTTATTATTTTTGTTTTATCTTTTATTTTAACTAACTTTTATTTAGATTATTTTATT